CTGGACAGTTACTACATTCTTCCCCCAGATACAACACCCGTCTGGTCATTATGAATGGAATGGAGCTGAGGGCTTCTGAGCTGTGTCTCTGACACACAACCGTTGCAGCAGACTGTGGCAGCCACAACGACTGGGGCCAAGTCCCACTAGCAGCATTGAGTTTCCTCAACGCCTGAATCTGGACGTGATTCTTGGCTATGTGCGGTTGAGGAAACTCAACGCGATTTCTGCGCATCTCCATAAACACATCCAAATTCAGGCGTTGAGGAAACTCAACGCTGCTAGTGGGACTTGGCCCCTGGGCGTAGACTTTGGAAGACTGTATTTTAATTCTTAAATTTTAACTTATTTTGAGGCTTCTTTTTCTTTGCCTGCCAATTCCGTCCCAGCCACACATGCAAACATTGCAAAGGAGTTTTTCAAAAAAAAAAAAAAAAAAAGTGGGACAATTAGATGGCTACCATCTTCACCCGAAAATAACACCTGGGTGTCATATTCAACCTACCCTTAAAAAAACAGATTTTTGCTTTTACTCACTTTTTTCTTGAACAGAACGCCCCTTCTAATAGAACGCCGGCATGTTATGCTAAGTTCGAATAGAACACCCGGGCGTTATACTTGAATGCGCCATGGGCGGAGTGCCTTATAGAGGGGGTATCCATGGGTTTTAAAGCGGGGGGAAGGGTGGTATACATGGGTTTTAAAGGGGGACGAAAGGGGTTTTGACTTCCAAGGGGTATGTTAAGTTTCAACTTGGATTTTTTATTTTTTTTGGGAAGGCCAGTTGTGTGGGCTGCAAGGGCGGGCAGTAAAGAGTGTCCCCTCCTTGCAGATTCCCGCCCCCTCCCCCCCACCCACCCCCCACCCCCCAATTTATAAGGAATTCTGAAATGACCGTCAGCCAAAAGTTGGTTGCATAGCAATTGTAGACTAAATATTTGTTTTACGGATTTGTTTTTTTTTTCGGGGGGGCTCATACCTTCCACCAATTTACCGAATATAACCCCTCGTTTATAACGCCCGCCGCCTGGCGTATTCGTATACAACACCCGGGCATTATAAACGAATATAATGCCCGCCACCAGGCGTACTCCTAATACATCGCCAAGGCGTTATTTTCAAGTGAAGACAGTAGCCTTCCCCATCTTTCCATTTGACATGGGTCATATCCCAACAGCAAAACCAATACGAGACACAATAAATCCGTTATATCGTTTTCTTCATTATGCGTTCATCAACTAACATTGTGAGGCCTCCCATTTTCTTTGTTTTTGCAGCTCCCCTCTTATTGTGTGTACCACGTACAAGGCTGGCCACGTTGATCATGGTTGAGCGCCAGCTGCCCACATTCCCGTGTGCCTTTACGGCCCACTTGCACGCTATAGAAGGAGACAAAGTAAAAGGGTAACTTACGTTTTGTCTGTTCTCTTAATGACAGTCATTCATACGTGTTTACTGGGAGTATACAAGCAGATGGAGTACATAATGGGGGGAAGGAGGGGATAGGGAAAAAAATAAATATATATATATATATAGAGAGAGAGAGAGAGTTCAGTAGGTTCACTATACACACCGTCGGAGCAGACAACTCTAGAATTACATGAGAGGTCAGTCAGTGTTCGGGTTGGAGGATGATTTTTGTTAAGGAGTAGCCGTTGGCTATGGTAGGTCGCCACCCCTACAGACCAGACAGCACCGATTCGGGTCCGGACGCAGACTGTGGAAGCACCGCATGCAATTCTCTGAGTCACAGTTGCTGCATCAAATGGCGCAGCGCAGACAGATGTCACAGGCTACATGGGTCGTACATGCTAGGAACACAGATGCATGTCGACCGCAGTTATAGAGGCATTGCCGTTCCAGCCCCTGTCTACAAATTGGACGTGTGTGTGTGTGTGTGTGTGTGTGTGTGTGTGTGTGTGTGTGTGTGAGAGAGAGAGAGAGAGAGAGAGAGAGAGGGAGAGAGAGGTCCATATTAGCACACCTTAGACACCCGAGCCCATTGCAACTATGGCCACAAAAAAATAGGAGAATGGCAAAAGTGACCAGAATGACAAAAAGCATGGACGCCATCCCTCCAGCTCTTTCCTTCTACCTCTCTCCCTCCCGCTCAATGCCTCTCCGACTTATCGAACTACATCTCAAATTTAAAAAAACGCCTTTTCAATCTCAGTCCCATCCTTCACCCATGGTAAGAGAAAGGGCGCGCCCCCCCCCAATTACAAATTTTCAACTAACAGAACAGCGGTTCGAACCATGCATGAACGTGTATCGATTCGCAACGAACAGCAATGAGCTCATCCGACCACTGAGGAGCCCTGTCCCGTCTCCCCTTCCCCTTCCCCCTCCGCCTCCTCTGCCTAAGCAGCCTTCACAAGCCCGTGGGCAAACTCCCTGGGCAACCCTAACCGCTGGTCGAGAGCCTAGTTCGACACCTGAGGTTCTCAAGAGCCATCCATTTTTTTCTTTTTTTATTTATTTAGAAAACCACTCTCATCAGGAGCCATCCTAACTTGAGGATTCTAATTTGTGACTAGCTTAGCGCTTCGTGGGCGCTCGCAAGATTTCAGTTTTTGAAAGCAATGATGCGCCGCAGTCTTGGTGTCATGATCAGAAAGTACCAGAAAGCAATAGACAGTGTGAGAAACAGATGCTAGGTAGTAGGTTTCAACTTTCGACAAATGGGTTCAAAACTTTACGCAAGTGTCGCGACAAGGGAATATTTTCCAGGGTAGCTTTTGCCGAAAGGCCGATAAAAGACCAATAAAAGGCCGATAAAAGGCCGATAAAAGGCCGATAAAAGGCCGATAAGATTTTTCCAACCCATTTGCTGAAAGGCCAACAAAGGACTTTCAACAAATGGGTCGAAATTTTTTGACAAAGGAGTTTGAAATTCCCTCCCTTGCAAAAGCCACCCTGGAAGGAAGTACGGATTTTTCGGCCTCTTTTGTGTAAGCTCAAGTGTAGCGTCTAACAAAGAAAAAAGGATGGAGGAGGGACGTATGAATAAAGTCAAAAAAAAAAAAAAAAGAAAGCAGACGCTCTGACCTGCAGCAGCAGCAGCAGCAGCAGCCGACTTGCCAGCAGACGTCAGAGACTCAGAATCCAGTCAATTATCTCATCATCACCGTTCTTTTGTCGCTCTGATGGACGGACCACCGGTTGTGCCACTCTGCCGCATACATCCATAATGCGCACTCGTGGAGTCTAATACTATACACTACGTAGCACCGTGTTGGTGTTCGGAGGCGAACACGAACATGTTCGCCCGAGAACGCGAACAAGCGCCCAAAACCCTCCGAACGCAAACATAAAAAAAAGAAAAAAGAAAAAGAAAGTACTCAGAAAAATCTGGAAAAAAATATATGTTATGTAAAATAACAATACAAGCAACTTTTGCCTTGGAGTCATGTTCAAATTGGTAGCCAATCACGAGTTAAAAATCAAAAACCGAAAAACTATGAAACTAATCAAAAGTTTTTCTTTTTTTTTCTTACAAAAAAAAAAAAGTTCGCCCAAACATGTTCGTGAGCTGTTCAGGCGAACGCGCAAACATGAAGGGGCGCGGACACATTCGCCGTGCTACGCAGACTATACATTATACAATTAACTCATCGAAAGAGGGCGCTCGGCAAAGTCGGTGGTCGTCAATGCACCTGCTTTGTTAAGGTGTGAGAATTAAGCAGAAGCCTTTCGGGAGAAGACAATTTTGGGGATAGATCTGTGACAGATGATGCATGCCCTGCAAATGGTTGCTGCTCACACAAGAGAGCACCTCCAAAAGGGAGGATTCACATGTCTGCATATCTGGCAATCTGTATGTAGACAGTGTGTGGGGGAGTGAGTCCGCTACGGAAACTCCGCCGGGAAATTACAAGGAGGACAGCTGCTGTGCTGTAGTGCTGATTACCTCCCGACCTTCTGGCTTCGGAGTGCGGGAATAGAGTAGAGAGTGCTAGGACACTGCTGCAAGACTGGTGGACGATAGCAAGCGGCGATGATGACATTGTGGACCTCATCTGTGTTCCAGGTTCTGGTTGTGTTCCACAGTCTGTTGCGGCTCAGGTTCTGGTTCATTGTGTTCCCGGCTAGGCTACCAGGCGGGCCGCCCGGGTCACCCTATTTTCCCAGACGGCCCGGCCGTGCGAGGACCAGGGAAGGTCCTAGCAAAGAAGAAGAAAACAAAAAAAAATCAAAAAAATCCCAAAAAAAAACTATGTTATGCAAAAAAATAAACTGAACAACGTTTGCCTCAGCGTCACATCGAAATTCTTTACCATATTTAAAATAAAAAAATAAAGTTAAAACTTAAAATTTAAAAACTGTTTTTTTTTTTGTTTTTTTTTTTTTTGGCCCGGCCGGGCAAGTGGCCCCGGGCCACTCTGGTAGCCTAGGTTCCCGGTTGGAGATTCTGTTGTGTTCCAGGTTCAGTTGTGTTCCCGGTTGAACTTTCTGTTCCAGGTTCTGGTTCTCTATTGTGTTCCAGGTTCCAGGTTTTGCTGTGCGTCTGGGTTCTGTTGTGTTCCAGGTTGAACTTTTTGTGTTCCAGGATCCAGGTTCCAGGTTCCCGGTTGATGTTCCAGGTTTGTGTTCCAGGTTTGTGTTCCAGGTTTGTGTTCCAGGTTCCAGGTTCCAGGTTGATGTTCCAGGTTTTGCTGCGCTCTGGGTTCTGTTGTGTTCCAGGTTACAGGTTCCAAGTTCCAGGTCTTGCTGCATTCATGTTCTGGTTGAGGACGAGGTTCAGGTTGTGTTCCAGGTTCTGCCTCTTTTGTTGTGTTGTGTTCACCAGGTTTTGTTGTGTTCCATGTTTTGCTGGGCACCAGGTTCTGTTCTATTCCAGATTCTGATTCTGTTAACCGCCTTGGTTTTCTTCCGGAAATTTTTCAACTGCAAAAAAAAACAAAAAAAACAAACAAACAGTTGTTCAGGGTGAGTCCAACGCATGCATGACATCAGCGAAACATAAGCGTACTGTGGCTTATTACTGACACTGCAAGCGAAGAAGGATCAGATCAGAAAGCTGGCCCCCGCAAGACAACGGAAGTAGATGCAAGATGCCACACCTTGACGCTCTGTCTGCCGCGAGATGTAGCTCGCAATGATCGCAAGCTGGTCCTTTTTTCCCGGCCAACCTTACACAGGCAGGAGCCTGAACGCTCCGACAACAGAAATAACCCCAAACAACTTCGCCAACGACACCAAGTAGTGCATCGTAAAGCCTCGCCCAAAGTTGGGAGGACACAGGCGAGGAAGGCTGAACACCGTCGTCAGATTGGGAGAGGGGCAGAGAAAGACAGCAGATTGAAGAACAAGCAGAGGGCGTTGCCGACCTTAACGAGTCCAAGACTTCGACAGCTCGTGTATCATACAGTCAATGGAGGTATCCCTCACATCGGGAGGAGCGTTGAATGCAGGCCAGGTTGGAGAGGATCGAAGGGAACCGTCAGATCAGAGGAGGAAGTGGGCATGTCAGTCGTCAGATGGAAGGATGACCGGACAAAGTCGTCCTCGTGTTGAAGATAGACCAGACGAAAGTTCTGCCAGTCTCAATACGAAGTGGCAGTAGCTCGTCGGCCAGAAGGAGCAGAGAAAGCAGTCAAGCGAGATAAGTGAGTGAAGTTGTCAAGCTGGAGTGGAGAAAGCTAGTCACAGGCTAACCTTCAAGCAGAACCGTGAAGGGCTCTGTATTTGCCTGCACAAAGCAGACAGATGCATGTACAAACTCATGCCCAGCTGCTTGTGCCGTGTTGTGATCGCAACAATTGCAATGACGAAGACGAAGACGAAGACGAAGACGAAGACGAAGACGAAGACAAAGACGAAGACGAAGACGAAGACGAAGACGAAGACAAAGACGAAGACGAAGACGATGACAAAGGCGAAGACGAAGACGAAGACGAAGACGAAGACGAAGACGAAGACGAAGACGATGACGATGACGATGATGATGGCAAAGACGATAACGACGACGACGACGACGACGATAACCATGACAAAAATCGATGGTGATGATGATGACAAACAGATGCATTCCGCCGTACTCCAGAGGTGGCAGCAGCTGCGCGTCAGTGCATGTGAGGCATTCAGGGCCGTTGCAGGTGAGTTGAATCAAAGGCTGCGGAGGAGCGATGACAGATGGATGGACTTAGACCAAGCCTTGTCTCTGCAATTCCATGTAGGTCTTCCTATTATACACGTTCCCTTCCCCGTCTTCACACTCTTCCTCCACATCCGGTTTCCACGTGTTGACTCCAGAATTCGCCTTGATCTTCTCCCACAGCTTCTTCGCATCCTGTCCAGACCAAAATCGCAATGGGCGGTTTAGAAATAAAACGGTTTCCACACGGTTCAACGATTCACATTAAACAACCAGTGCTTGCCCCAGGCGATTTTCTAAGACGCGACCGTTAACGCGCTGCGTCTGGTGGTGGGATGCACTGGCCTTCTAACGAGTTGCATGCACACCCTGTCTCCCTCCTCCCCCCCCCAAACCGGCTCATCACGTTGCATCATCAAAGAGGAACACATTTCTTACTTGAAAAAGAGAGAGATACAAAACATAAACAGACAAAAGACACGTCCGTACAGATGCTTGTGAAGTCTAAACATGCGATTCTGAACCCTCTGAATAACAACACATAAGGTTGTGCAAACGATAAGAGCTGTCAAGGCGGGATTGGATGGACATCAAAAATGATGTATAGCAATACTATAATGATTATGGTATTCAGTATAGCAATACCATACTGATTACAGTATAACCAGCAATAACTACAATAGCTTTCGGTCTTTCGATGTCAGTTGGCAGCATAAGTTCCAGTCCCCAGAGTACAGTCTGTAGTTTATCAGCCTCGGACCTCCTCCGGACACGCACGGATGCAAACCAGTGCCCTCACCCTCAAGAGCCGAGTTTCTTAACCACTACAGCCATGACACAGTTTACAAAAGTGGATTCATAAGGGTCGTGATATCCACGCCACTCTGCACGGCTGTAGTGTCCTTCAACTCTCTCTCTCTCTCTCTCTCTCTCTCTCTCTCTCTCTCTCTCTCTCTCTCTCTCTCTCTCTCTCTCACACACACACACACACACNCTCTCTCTCTCTCTCTCTCTCTCTCTCTCTCTCTCACACACACACACACACACACACACACACACACACACACACACACACACACACACGCACGCGCCTGCGAGCGCAAATATAATTCTCCAGTAAACAACAAATTGCTGACAAGGAAGACAGGAAAATAATACCACACATCTTATACACCAAAAGAGAAAGCTCCCACTTCTATTTTCATTCCCTCTCTTTCGCTCAGAACAGCGAATGTTTTTTGAGCAGGCCCCAAGGTCACAGCTAGTCTGAGCTAGAGCAAAAAGAGTTCCAAATTCCAATAGCGAAGAAAAGACAGAAATTGACAGAAATCTCTCTCTCTCTGTGCAATGACTTGCTGATTTCGACTGCCGGAGACTAACTGCGAGGCTGTATAGTTTGCTGTGTGTTTTGCTGTGTTTTTTTGTTTGCACTGAGGGCCGTCCGCTGTTCTAAAAATAGCCCGAATTAACAGCAGTAGGGCTGAGTGGTTACCGGCCCTAAGTGGCCCTGAGCCCTAAGTGCAGCAGTAGGGCTGGTTTCGTAGAGGCCGAGTAGGCCCTAACTGAACCGGTACCGGTAGGTCCTAGGCTAGAGTAGTGTAGAATCTACAAGTAGGTTAGGGTAGGACTGTTTGGAACTTTTTGGCAGTTCATTTTCGCGATATAGCATTTGGAGCCAAGGAAGTTTTGGACCGGCGATTGTCTGCAGGCGGGACCCTGGGACCCTCACCGTGGACAGCAGCCATAGCCAGCCGGCTGAGGTCTTGCCATAGCTGGGGCATCATCTGCGCATCAACACCTGTGGGTTTCTGCGATTGGCTGGGCTGATTGGAGACTCTTCACTGAGTCTATGTGGGTGGCGGGAGCCATAGCTGCCGGTTCCTCGTCAGAGTTGTTCAGCGGCAATGAAGACTTCATCACAGGATCTGTTCTTCATCTGGGTGGTTGACGCTGGCCTCTGGGAGGCCATTCTGATGTGGCGCTACTAACTGGGTGTAGGGTAGAGAGTGGAGTGTGAGGTTCTGAGAGTGGCGAGACACTGGAACAAACTCTGTAACGATTTCTGGTTAATTGGCTCATCATCAGTGTGTATTCCAATTGTTATCCTCGCAGGTTCTTTCTTGTGATTGGTTGTTGGGAGTATCGTCAGAGAGTGAGAAACACTGCGTGTCTTCTCCCCATCTGTGCATGGTTGACTTCCGCTGCTTATCTCTGTCTGTGTGCAGTTTGGACTCTGTCTCCTCTCCCCCTTGTCTGGTACATGTATGGGCGTGTGTCAGATCCTATGTGTGAGTGGCGAGAAATTCGTCAGACAACCAAGTTCATAACACTCTCTCTCTCTCTCTCTCTCTCTCTCTCTCTCTCTCTCTCTCTCTTTCCCCCCCCTTACCCGCTCGAATTTTTCACTTTCTTCCTTCTTCGTTGCCTCCTTCCGCCAGTTCGGTTCCATCTTACGACTTGTGCCCTCCATCCCCCCTCCCGATCTTCCCCCCAAAACCCCGCTTTTCCACACCTGCTTCTCTCCTTGTCCTGCGTTTGTGGCCTCTCTCCTCCCGTCTTTCTCCATGCCTTTTTCACGTCCGTTAGGGTCCTCTTCGAGCTCCTGCCCCTCCAATACTCGATGCGGGCTCCGTGGATCTGGTATGTCCTTTCCTCTTTTCCTCTTTCTGTTGCCCTTTCTCTATTCATTGCTCTCTCTGCCTCACCTGCATATCGGCATATCCTATCCCTTCCGTGATCGAGGCCCTTCCTCATTATCCTGCTCTCTCCTTTCCTTACCTGTCCCCCCCCTCCCCCTTTTCCGTCTGAGATCCTCTTCTTCCCCACCTTGTCCGCATCCCCCCCTACACGGCCTGCATTCCGTACCCTGTTGCCTTGGCCTTCTTTCCCCTGCACTTCATCAGCTCCTACATCCTCACCCTGATTGGCTGGCATTCCGACCTCCTCCTCCTCTCGATCCCACGTCATGATTAGCCCCCTCCCAATCCGCGCTGCCCATCCGCTTCTCCGCAAATCAGGTCCGCGACCCACATCATCCTCCCTTTACTTTAGGACCCCCCTCAACGTCTTCCTCTTCCAAAACCTCCTTCACGCCGTCAAATTTACCCTGCATGCGTCACCCTGTAGCAATGACTCTCTTTCTGCTTCCTCTGTCATCGCATCCCGTCCTGACCGACCAGATCTCCACTCTCTCATCCTCCTGATCCCCCATCCTCACCCCCCCCCTTGCCCTTCTCCCGCTATTCCAGCTTCTCAAAATTTTGATGGCGACCTTCTCCTGCCCGCATGACCAGGAACTTGACCTCCCCCTACTGTTCCTTCTCCCCCTGCCTCTCCGCATGCACGGCTTGATCCAGCCTACTGCTTCCGACAGCGGCCATACAAAAATTGAGTCCCACTTGCAACATGGCAACCCAACACAAAATGGAGTTGCAGCCTAAACTTAGATGCTGGGAGGAGAGGAGGAGGGATACAGGAAGGTGGGGGAAGAGAGAGAGCGGGTGCACTTCACATACGCTGGGGGAACCCACCTATGTGGTTTTGGGGCCGGCTGTGAATGGAACCCTACCTCTTCACCCACAAAACCGCCAAGAGAGAGAGGGAGGGTGGGCGGGAGAGAGGGAGAGAAGGAGAGAGGGAGAGAGGGAGAGAGGGAGAGAGGGAGAGAGGGAGGGAGAGGGAGGGAGGGAGGGAGGAAGGGAGG